CTCCCAAACCCCAAAGCCCACATACTGGTAAGTTTAAGATGAGGAGACAATGCATTTTAGTGATCATCTTTTAACAGGTCATCAACCATTAGCAAGACTTAGCTCGAAGAGATCCTGCTCTTGCTTCCATCGAAGGCCAGGGCAACCACCTCATGTACTTTGAAGAACGTTGAGTCTGCCCATAAATCACCAGCACCAGCTTGCCTGCAAGTGAGGCCGGACTTGTGAGCTCCCGGGCTTCATTCTTTTGCCCTGGGGATGTTCCATCGCCTGCTGAAATAATTTTTCAGGCACTCTCACGAGTCTTTGTAGTCAAATGAAGCCTTTGAGGCATTGAGAACAGGTGGAAAGCTCTGTCTGCCTCTGGGAATGCAGAAAGGAGGTGCCACCCCGGTGCGCATACATTTCCAGAGGAGTGAGTGCACGCACAACTGCTAGCCTCCATTTATTGTTCTGCTCATTGCTTAGAATACATAGTCACTGTGCAAATAGCATCGTTTAAGCTGTGCCTATAGGTCATGTTGCTTCCACAGCAGCTATGTCATATGTCACAATAACTCGGCAGGTTATTGCAACAGAATGGAAAGGATACTGGTTTGCCTAGCTTGGGAACAGTTTCATCTTCTACTCCAGGCTTATTCTCTGTAAATACCCTTAAACAAAGCTGAGGTCATTGACTTCAATGGGAATCCCAGGAATAAAACCGGGCGCACCATTTTGAAATTGAAGGGGATAACCGACAGTCTTATAAACAAAGCAGCCAGGAAAGATCAGATTTCATATTAAAATGCCATCCTTACAACATATATGGGTCTCAAATATTTTCTTAGACAGATGGGGTTTATTTCCACATACTCTTTAAAATCAGCATCTGCTTGTGCATGCATATACACTGGCTGGTTTTACGTATATGTGGCGACAGACACTCACCTACTAGGAACAAGTATAAAACAAATGCAGTCATTCACGGTTCAAACACCCTTGCAATCAGGAAAGGATGCTAAAGACATGTAGGAATCTATTCTCCCCTGGGTACTAAAAACTTGCATTAAAGTGAATGGGAGTAATTCACACATTAATGGGAGGATGCCATTTCATGTTAAACTTCGCAGCTCTTGTTTGAATTTAAATGTTACATGTTACTATACACTGGTTGTTATATCTCCGACGTATTTTAAATAATATAAAAAAGTACCAATAAGTACATTTAATACCTTTATGCGGGTTCACCTGGTTTTTTAGAGAGCCATATCAGAGCTTATGAGACTTCGTGTCAATTCATAATAGTCTTTTAAGCATATTTCTTTAGTACTAGCCATAAACTAGCATGTATAGCATACACGCGTACATCAGTACTGAGACCGAGCATGCATTTACTCATCCACGCATACGTTTATGTAATGGGTATTAAGCTTTTTGTCAAATCCTACGTAAATCTGAAATAAGTCCTTAAAAATCTGCCAAACGTCCAGCTAAATCTATCGCTGAAAGTTTTTGTTCGGCATAATAAGCGATCCCACTTTCAATAGGGGAAAGCTGTCTA